GGAAAGGAAAAATTCATAAGCTCCTCCTCAGCCTAAGCGTCTCCGTATTCACCTCCATTTGCTTATACGGCCTGCCCTTCCTAGCCCAATGCCGACCATGCCAACCCTCCGACCCATCTTGCCCGTCTTCGGGCCATCTGAAGCGCTTCAACTGCCCCCCGGCCCATTACAACGACCTTGCCACACTCCTCCTCACCACCAACGACGATGCCGTGCGAAGTGTATTCTCCATCCAAACCCCCGGCCAATATTCCCTTCCTTCCCTCGTAATCTTCTTCGCCCTTTATTGCATCCTCGGCCTCATCACCTTCGGCATCGCCGTCCCCTCAGGCCTCTTCCTCCCCATCATCCTCATGGGCTCGGCCTACGGCCGCATCCTGGGCCTTGCCATGGGCCCATATACAAAGATCGACCCGGGTCTTTACGCCGTCCTTGGGGCCGCCTCCCTCATGGCCGGCTCCATGCGCATGACCGTCTCCCTATGCGTAATCTTCTTGGAACTTACCAACAACCTATTGTTGCTTCCCATAACCATGTTGGTCCTATTGATCGCCAAAACCGTGGGCGATTGCTTCAACCCGAGCATATATGAGATCATTTTGGAGCTCAAGGGCTTGCCGTTTTTGGACGCGCATCCTGAGCCGTGGATGAGGAACATCACGGTGGGTGAGCTGGCGGATGTGAAGCCGGCAGTCGTGAGCCTCAACGGGGTCGAAAAGGTCGGGAGGATAGTCGAGGTTTTGAAGAACACGACGCACAACGGGTTCCCCGTGGTGGATACGGGAAACGGAGCGAACGAGCTTCACGGGCTGGTTTTGCGGGCCCACTTGTTGTTGGTGCTGAAGAAGAAATGGTTTTTGGGGGAGAGGCGGAGGACGGACGAGTGGGAGGTGAGGGAGAAGTTCACGTCGATCGACTTGGCCGAGAGGGGGATGACGATTGATGAGGTGGCGGTCCGGAAGGAGGAGATGGAGATGTATGTGGATTTGCATCCGTTGACAAACACAACTCCGTACACAGTTGTCGAGAGCATGTCCGTGGCTAAGGCGATGGTGCTGTTCAGGCAAGTCGGGCTCCGGCATATGCTCGTTTTGCCGAAATACCAGGCTGCAGGGGTGAGTTCAAGATTCGACTTGCTTGCGTGCGTGTCTTGTTTTCGAGTTGTAGTGTTCTTGATTGTAAGAAAAACGAGAAACTCATTTGATGTGAATTTTCTGAAGTGTTTGTTGGCTTCGCTGTTTTTGGCAGGTTTTTCCGGTAGTGGGGATTCTGACTAGGCAGGACTTGATAGCACACAACATTCTGAGTGTTTTTCCTCATCTGGAATCAAAAGGAAACAAGAAGGAACATTGAAGGTACACTTGCAACACTTTTGGGTTCTCAGAAGTTGTGTGACGTTGACTGTTGGGATTTTTTAATTTTATGGAACTTCTCATTCTTTGTCCAGATTTTGTTACAGCATTCTTAGGCATAAGAGCGAGGAAAGAGTGCATAATCTTTGTTGCCATTAAAAATAATTCCTTCAAATATACGTTGATCCAAAGTACATTCTATCTCTGTGGTATTGACAAAATTGGCTTCACCAGCTTGTTTTTTCTTTTTTTGAGTGGACACATTTACGTATATTTTCCGCCATTTCCTTATTTTAATTTCGTATCGAAATAAAGCAAAATAAAAGATGAAATACTCCAGCTTCTAGATTTGGTTTCAGTAAACTTTTTGAGCTATGATCCTTTGTTTAACCTGTTTGTAATTAAGAGCAACCACACAGTGCAACTTCACAATAAGATAGCTTTGAACAAAAAGTTCACAATAGTAATGATTTATACACAGTAGTAATGAGGCTTTGTATTGTCGAAACAATTAAGTAGAAAGCCCACGTTCTCAATCTTTGTGTCACAGCAGGACGACAGTCGCAACCGAATTTTGACCTTGATTTACAGTTGAAAACAGACAAACTAATAGCAACAAACCCCATAAAAGATCGATCAATCATCAGTGCCAAAGTAACGATCTCCAAATTCTCCCATGCCCGGTATAACGCGGAACTCTTCATTCAGTGCTGTATCAATCTCTGATGTCACAATTTTCAATGATGGGAAACGTTTGCAAACGCAGTGGATTCCCTCAGGTGCCTATAAATCAACAAATCGTGAACAAGATGAAAATGAGGAACAAAAGGAAGAAATTTAAGCATATGCCACTATACACTCTAAAGGAATTACACAGAAATTACTGGCTCACCGAGATGAGGTTGAGGAATATAATGTGAGATTCTGGAACTCCTTTCCGTATAAGTAACTCAATCGCCTGGTTAGCAGAGTTACCTGGAAGGGGAGAATTTCTGATGTTTTAAGTCTGGACAAAAACAGAATACCAATGTGGAAATGTTGAAATATCAGCAGACTTTATCTACCTGTTCCAAGAACAGGGTCAAGGAGGAGAACATGGCGCTCAGAGATATCTTTGGGAAGTTTTTCGTATATAAGCTATTCATTCAGTCATCAGAAATTTTAAGTAAAAGACAATTAGATGAGAAATTTTGAGATGCACCATTAATATGAGTGTCTCAAAATAAAGGAACAAAAAGTAAACCTGCTTCCCATTGTCACCATCACGGTGGATCAAGATTTTCCCGATTTTAATCCCCTTGCAACATGCACGTAGTGCATTTTCCATGCTTTCACCACTGTTGAGAAAACAAAAAAACTACCTTCACAATGTGATGCAGCTTAAATATCTCATAGTGTTAACAAATAAATATATTAACAAGCTCAACCTCTTCTCAAGGACAAAATCATTTCAGTAAAATTGATGCTTTTCAGCATCAACCTAATATTATTCCGTTACCTTCGTACAATGGAAACCCCACACAATTTCTTGCAAAAATCAACACCAGTATACACTGAGTCTGCATCGGGAATTTAAAGTGTTGAAAAGATAAATATATTGGTAATGGTAACTTTCTACACACATTCCAGTTATGCATATAAGATATAAAGTAGATTAAGTATCGTTAGTGTATTTCATTCCAGAATACATGTTATAGTACCAGTTGGAGTGACAACTTGCTTCTCAGTGAAAGGTAAATGGCCAAGACCATGTTCCACAACCTGAAAATGTTACATATTTGAGAGTTTAGATATTTTCTATATTTGCAGAACTGTTGTTTCTGTTTGACTCTTGGTGGTTAAGAGACTTCATGATTACCAGACGAATAAGCCGATCTGAGTAAAATACAAAATCATGTTTTGATATGTCTCGGTCTCGAATCAGGGTATGCATGCCTCTTATCTGTAGAATATAAGTCAAAGGTTCGCATCTAAGGATAAAATAGTATTCTTCACCTTCAACACTCCACACTTGGAGTAACAAGTAAAGAGAAAAGAATCCAAAGAAATTGAGAGAACTTTTATGATGGTCCCTCCAAGACAAGATTGCAAAATTCAATGCCAGATAGCATCAAAACTTAAAATCAGAACAAGTTAGAACGCTTACCTGGAAGGTAGACTGTATGACGTACACATTTGGATATATTTTACAAAGATCATGCTGCCCAAGCTTTGTGCGAATATGTTGGACAATCAAGTCAATGGCAACATGATTGTCACCTCCGCGGGGAATAATAACATCAGCATATTTTTTTGAAGGCAGAACAAAATCCTCAAAAGCCGGCTTCACAAATTTTGCATACTGTATTTCAAGAACAATATTCATGAGCAAGATGTTGAGCAAAGCTGTAAATACATGTATTAAAGCATGTAAAAAAGAATATCCAAATAATCTATGTATAGAGATAGAATTATATAGGTTTCTACAGAGTTGTTCAATGGTTGAAGTAGAAGAGGCACTTAATTAATCATATCATGTAGACCCAAAAAGTTCAATAAATTATATTATTATATCCCAAGCCAATTACAAGAATAAGATCGAATATGCTAGAAAGCACACGAACAAGTATTAAGCAGCATAAAATGTGACAACTCGGCCACTTAATTCAATCAATTCCCCAGATGTTCCAGGGCAAGTAATAAATGAAACAATATCAGAAACTTCAAAGATAATAATGAAATAAGAGAATTTGCCTGTTCGAGGACTGAGTTTATGTCCCTGCTCCTCTCAACTGTATCACGCCTTATTCTGCGAGCAAGCCTCACATCAGCATCTGGGCTCGTTAATCCAAAGCAACAAGAGATCTCATCAGTTCCTAACACATATCATACGTCAACTCAAAAAAATTATCTAGCAAACAGATAATTCAAAGTTCACCAGAGTCAACAAAAATCTTCATGTTCATCAGGTTCCGAACTCGTTGATCATGAAAAACAAGGATGCCCTCCAGTATAATAACATCAGATGCGTTCACCTGGAATTGCAGTCTATTACTGTTTTCAAAGTTACAACAAATCACTCATGAAATTGAATCAGATGCATTGAGCAGATTTTAATACTATTATCTAAAGCCACATCGAAATGATGGCCCATCAATCTGCTTGCGACCTCCAGGAAGTTTTGTAGTAGTTTGACTTGATGATTTGTACCTGGAAGTTTACAATATATGGACTGATGAAGAGGTTTACCTGGCGGAAGCTTTCTGAACTCCTTTGATGTGTTTTGAAGTCATAAATTGGAACGTGGACAGACTTGCCACACCTAAGCTTTTCGACACAATCAAGAAGTTGCTCTGTGTCAAAGGCATCTGCATTGTACATTTCAAATTGATCACTTAGTATCAAACTACTGCCAAAGCAAGTCAAAATGAGATACGGAAGAATACCCTTCAAATCAGAACTAGCTTACCTGGATGATCAAAATTGTACTCATGCACACGTTTCAACTCTTCAGGAGTCAGACCACGATAAAAAGAATCCTGAAGATAAAACACAACAGATTTTTCACAATTTTGTATAAAATTTAAAAGCAATGAACAAAAAGTATAATGCACATGCGAACATCAATTGAACACAACTTAGTTGAGGACTCGAGCTTTCTTTTCTTTTCCTTTTTTTGTTTTTTTTGGCCCAGCCATACCTCTACAAAACAGGCTACTGGCATTCGAAACTACTGTTGAAGAGGTTGCCCAAAACAAATAAAATACAAGAAGACAAATATGAAACCACAGAACAATGAGACACAATCAAAACCTGATTGACGAGCACTACACGGTGGTCATGAAGTTGCTGTATAATCATATCGCAGACTGTTGTCTTCCCAGACGCCGTCCCTCCCGAAACCCCTAACTCCATATATCGAAAAATAAGAATAAGCTAAACTGTCAAAGCAGACAAAAAGCAGAAGAAATTCAGAAACACTCTAGCTTAAACCTAATTAGAGAAAAATGGAGCTGAATTACCGATCACGAAAGGCTGCTTGAGCGCGGCGGAGTCAGCTACGCGTGGGGAAAACGCTGTGGAGGTAACAGCGCCGGAAGCGCGCGGAGAGGAAGAGAGAAGACCTTCGAGACGGAGTCCGGAAAAGTGAGCGCCGGACGCCGCCTCCATGACGTAGTCAATCGCCGCCGTCTCCTCCGGCATCGTTGATTTTTAAAAGTATTCTTTTTTTTTTTTTTATTTGAATTTTTTGTTATATAATCAAGTTTTAGATACGCTCAGGTGAAATAGTTCGCGTTCAGTTGGAATTGGATAAGTTGGGACATTTTTTTATTTTTTTTCAGATATAAACTATTGAAAAAATAAAAATGATTATTTTCCACAAAAGATAAAATAAAACAAGCATAGTACAAACAAAAATAAGAACATTCCTAATCTTTTTGCCTTTTGCCTTACCATCAAAATGCAGAAATGTTATATGAAATCAGCCACTCACATTGTCATAGAGTTCAATGATGAATATATGTTATAAATTTATGAAAATCTTATTTATTGAATGAAATATATAAATGTCAGGTGATACAGTACAGTATATTATTATTGAGTTCTACTAAAAACAAGGTAGAACATGGACAATCATAAAAACTATTGAGACATCTCATTGCAAGAAAATAAATACAAAATATAAAAAATTATATATTATTTATTTGAATAAAATGAGTGTTCCCAACCAAATCAATAACATCCAACAAGTGATATATGATAAAATTAATTATATGAATTGTCATTTTTTTAATATATATATATATAATTAATATGAGATATTTAAGTTTCGTACTAAATTTATAATTTGGATATGAGATGAAAAATTGATGTGGACAGAAAAATAGATACCAAAAATTCCACGTAATTTGAGATACTTTATAAACTTTAAAAGATTTTGTAGTTAAATAAATATGGACAAAATAATTATCAATTAAGTTGTACAATCCAAAATATAAAAATTAATTTTCAAAATTTCTTTACTATATAAATATGAATTTTTAGTTGTGATATAATATGAGATTCATAGATAGATAAAATATGGATAAAAAATATTTAATAATTGGCATGAATTTTCGGACAGAATCCAAAAAATTTCCAACGTTTTATTTGTTAAATGATTGACCAGATTTTTGTAACCAAATTTGCATGGCTGACCGAAAAAATTTAATGAAATGATTGATTGGATTTTTTGGAACCAAGATCTTCAAGATTCTTTCTCTAGCCAGATTTATCCATAGTATTAAAATAATCACTCGCCATATTTTTAAGAATTAAGGTTTACACAATATCATTTTCAAATAACATTTATTTTTAAAAATAAATTGAGTTCATATTTTCATTCAACCACCATTTAAAAAAAAAAATACTAAGAATAATAATTCTGAAAATTTTAAGCGGAAATTTTAATACAATTTCAAGTAAATCCCCCTATATCCCCCTATCCCCCTATATATTAATACAGAACGCGCTGAGCCTGCGTGGCTGCTTCTGGTGCTTCGTAATCCTATGTGGCAAAATTACATGCTTCGTTATTAGGCTTGGGTAAATTTTAATTTAATTCCAAACCAAAAATAATTAGGTTCGAATTACCATAAATATGTTGATTATTTATGGTCATGTTACATGTATTAATTGCATTTCAATATCATTCCTTATTATATTTATTGAATTGTATATATATTTTAAAAGTTAATAACTTTTGTATTTTTTATCAGTTTTACATATGTAATATACCAAATTAATCTTCTTTTGATGAGTTTCGATTTAACATCCATATTGTATGTATTAAAAATATAATTTATATTTATCTTTATAACAATAATAAAATTATTTTTAATATTAATTAAAAAAATAAAATTATTTATAAACTAATATATTTATATTTCAAGTAGTTATATGATATCTATAGTAATATAAAGAGGTTGTTGGAAAAATACAAAAAATAGTATGTTTGACTTGAAAAATAATGTTTTGACTTACTAATTTAAGTAACACCAATGGGCCCCACGTGTTAAAATTAAATTTAAGTAATAAATCTCTCATAGCAAAAATAGTTTAGATTTTCTTAACCAATTCAGCGGATTCTGTGGGATTTTATATATTCACAATTTTAATAATTACTACAAAATCTTGAAGACTATTAATTCAAGCAATAAATCTCTCATAGAAAAATTAGTTTGGATTTTCTTAACATATTCAGCGGATTCTGTGGGATTTTATATATTCACAATTTAATAATTACTACAAAATCTTGAAGATCATGATCGAAATTGTCTTACCAAAGTTATAGGATTTTGTTAACTATATTGCTAGGATTTTGATTAGTTTTATATATGAATTGTTGTGACCAATTTTCCACGATAACTACAGATTTTTTGGGCATCTACAAAATTGACGATTTGACGGCTTTTCAGTTTTCACATTTGTTTGGCAATTTTTTTTTACCAACAGATATATGATCCGATTTTGTAGGATTTTATTTGTTCACAAATTTATTAATTGCTACATAATGCATCGAAATTGTCCACATATTTTTGCCAACTAATCATAGCATAATCAAGCAAATCGGATAGGATCCCGCGGGATATTAATCATATCAAAATAAAAAATATCGGATGGCTGTTGAATCCGACCGGATATTAATCATATCCCCTATAAATATCATATATTTCTAATGCATTCATTGTATTACATTCAATCTCATACTCTCGGTTCCTTCTATAGTCTTTTTTTTTCAGTTTATCCAATATCTAATGCCGACATCCTTTTTTTTTTTTTTGCAGACGTACAGACTAACTGACAGATTTGTATGTAAAGAACCTTTATGTTGTGAAGAACATAATTGGAGGGAAAAGCAATAGTGACATTGTTCACAACATCATCAGAAAACGAACAACTGACCCGAACAAAGGTAATACATAAACATAGATTATATATATATACTTGCTTAAAATACTAATAATAATCTAATAGTCTAAAATTTATCTAGGATATATCTTTTTCGATTTATCTTCTTACCTGCGAACTTATTGATATATATATATAACCTTCCAAGTCAATTTCTTCTGTTTTCATCATTCTCGAACAGAAAAACTTAAGAAAACAAAAACAGTTATAAATACGTTTTTAGTGATAAATGAATTAGATTATTACTCCAATATTTTGTTTTTCTTTTTGTTTGAGGGGGAGGTGGGTGGAATATAATATTGAAAATAATTCAACATAAACTTGACAAAGGAAACAACAAGACTAACATAAGTTATCAAAATTTGTTGGTTTTAAAAATAATGTATGAAAACTTGACAAAGTGAAGCTAATATTGTATAAATATAAACTTGCCTCTACATGTTTGAGTCATATCTTTTGTCTTTTGCACCTGGTTGATGATGTTTACTTCAAGTCATGCATGTATAAGACATTATTAATTAGATTGTAACATGCTTATGCATGCAAGAAAATATATTTAATAATATAAATATTGTCCATAGACATATGACACTAGCAACAATGCAAATAATGTAGAGTTTGTAAACATAGCTAATTTCAATATCTACATTTCATCATAACAGTTCATATTGAAGACATTATTGAAATAACATATAACCTTATATGCTTATCTCTAGCCTACAAAAATCACACAGATCAAAATAAAACAAGTATTACACACGTGTTTAAATTTTATGTTTATCTCTTACTCTATTGTTTATGTGTGAATATTAAATAATTCCATGATAATCTCAATACCATTTATGCTTATCTCTAACCTCAATGCAACAACCACGTGCTTAGTTTACTCATATATAACTTCTTTTATTGATTAGAGTTTATAATTTATTAATTACGGGAAAATACTCACTATTTCTTCCTATAATTATATAAATTACGGGAAAATACTCAATTTATTCCTCTAATTATATAAAATACGGGAAAATACTCACTATTTCTTCATCTAATCAGCTTTGTCCACATTTCTTTTATTTTTCGGTTACTCTCTTCTTCAATACTATACAAATATGTACTGAAATATTATCAGTTCTAATTTCTCATTGTTTTCTCTGTTTCAGTTCAACCAGCAAAAATCTACTTTTCGATATCAAAATTCCAGATCGTGCACAAAAAAAATCAATTCGGGTATCAAAGTCGAGTTAAAATGAGAAGTTTTTTTAAAAAAAAAAAAATCATTTTCTGTCTGAAAGGTGAAGACCGCAGACAAAACTTTACATTTTGTTGAAAACTGAAAATGATCTAAACAAAATCGTACAAACATATGAAATCAAAATAATTATAATTCGTAAAAAAAATAGGAATACATAATACTGAATAAAAATTATAAATATATTAACTAATTACAGAATTTCAGTGTACTAATTCAAAATCGAAAATGATACTTGAGCTAGAAAGCATAACTAAAATCGAATTTCATGTCTTAAATTCAACAAGAATCAAAAATTTTGAAGATGAAACGTGAGGAGAGGAAAGAGTGAAGCGGCGCAAATGGCAAGCCTAAACCTAATGACGACCAAATGCTATTATATGGTCGATCTCACACGTACATTTTGGTTGATTATTGTCAATCGTTCGATCTTTTTTTTTAACTGAATTGTATTTGGGCTCTCTGTTTGTGGGTCGTTTGCAATAAAAAAAAAATTACACCATGTACAACATATATCACTTTTTTATGGAGACGAGATCGCATTGGCGTTTATGCAGAAATACGACCGGATGCCTTCTTTAGTCTAGTTATTTATTTCCTACCTTTTATTTATATTCCATGTTTTATTTAATATTTATTTAAGTATTATTCCCTTATTTAGGATGTTTAGGAGACCTAGGATTTGGAGACTATTTATTCTCTTCTTCTTGCTGATGAAAAACAGTTTTTATCGTGAAATAAAATATTGTTTGGGAGATTTCATCTCTTTGTTCCCTTTTGTCGACGCTGCGCTACATCACTTTTTCTTGCAAAATTACCACATGTATAACACTAATTGCAAAATTACTAGATATATAAAAAATAATTAATTTAAACATGAAATCAACTAATGTCATGATCGTTCCATTATCATATAATTTTAATTTAAAAACAAAATTGTCTTTTAAAAAGACAGAAATAATAAAGCTCGTGCATCGCACGGGGACTGTACTAGTAAATTATAAAAACTATAATAATATATTTCATGTAAGTCATAAGTAACACATATCATTCTAAAATATATATTACTTTTTTTGTAAAAAAATAAACTAAATTTAATATAGTTTTTTCATTAATTTTAAAATTTAAGAATAATTTTTTAACAAGCACCCGTGTAATACACGGGTGTTGTACTAGTATCTATATCTATTATATAGTAATTGACGTAAGTACATATTAAGATATATAAAATTTATATTACTAGTATGTAACCCGTGCGATGCACGGGTTAGTACATATTTTGAAATATTTTAAAAAATTAAAAGATCATTAATTAATAAGTTATTATAATATGTATGACATTTATAAAGTAAACATGAAATCGTCATTTGTATAAAGTTATACATTATTAAAAACCTCCTTATATACAACGTTTACTGGGTAACTCATCGTCCCCACAAACTAATATTTACAACCCCTTCCTATTAGTAACACGTGAAACAGCGACGTATAACTGGCCATGACTAAAAACATGTTTTTTAGTTAATTTGTGTATCTGATATTGTTAAGTATATATATTTGTTTATCTAATGGTTCTTAGTTATTTTAATTATTAATTATTAGTAAAGATTATAATATCCCGATTATACAATATGTATTAAAATAATAAAATCATCATTAAAATAATTAAATCGTCATTAAAACAAAACTTTATACACAAATTCATTAATAATTGATAATAGAGACACAATTTATAAAAACAATTTATAGAAATGAATCTCTCAAATGTATTATTATATTATTTAATTATATTATTCAGTTAATTGATTAATTGATCAAGCTTAATATTTTTTTAAGCGCATAAAAGAAAAAAAAGAAGCAAATTTTGTTATTTTTAATATAATATCCTATTTTTTAATTATTATAATGTAATCTATTTTAAAAAAAAGGTGAGTATGTTAAATTGTTCAAGCATGCAATGATTTAATCGAATAAATTATAAAATTAAATAAATTCAATAACATGAAATTATAAATTATTAGAATTTGAAAGAACACAAATAAAAAAATGAACAACAAACAGATATATGAAAATAAATCATGTAGAACAAATAAAACAAACAAACAATAAAAGAATTGTATGTAAGTACAAAATCGAATGAGGAGTCTACTAATAAAAATTTATTCATGATAAAATGTAGTACACATCCATCATCAAATCTATATATAATAAAAACCTAAGAAATCCAGACGACAACCATATCTCGATCATTGCTAGTATTGAGGAAAATTCCCATTGTATTTGATAAAATCTGTCCTTCCATTAAGGACAATCTTCCAACAATTAGTTATTATATTATTCCTCCCACTATTATATTCAACATTGTAATTGCGAATAAAATACACCTCGCTTTGTTTAAGGCGATCTCGAAATTAGCTCATATGCTGCGAACGTTCTATTTCTTTCATGTATGAACCCTACATAGTTGAAATAATAAATAATACAAAAAAAATATAAATTCAGTTTTGAAAATAATAAATAATACAAACAATGAAAATAATGTTAATGATAAAATATTTGAAAATAATTATCCCTTCATCATGAAACAGGATATGAAAGGCGTTTGGATGCTCCGGATCGTCATGAGTTTCCAGCAGTAGAACTACTCACAACTTCAAAAACGGTTTGTTGAATCGACTCACGACGTCTACTGTACCTCTGAATGGTGCCATAAAATAATTTTTGTATTTTGTGATTTTTGTTTTCCTACGCGTGTTGAGGATTTTTCCATCATCCTTTGTAGATATATATGGATGTGCAATTGCTTTTATTTCATATTTAATGGCGTGAAAAAATAATTTTTATTCCATTTCATACAAAAAATAATGTTAATCGGCAGTAATTTAATAGTGATAATGGAGCCAAAAAAATTGCTATGTACGTTCCAATTCCAAATTATGTGCAATTGCTGTTATTCCATATTTAATGGCGTGTATAAAGGATTTTTATTCGATTCCATATTTAAACGGGCAACATTTAATAGTGATTTTAAAAATTGTTATTAAAGTTGATAGTGATATTTTTAAAAATTATGATTAAAGTTCATGACATTGACATTTAAAAAATTATTAATTATTCGTATATTAAAAATTGTTATTAAAGTTGATAGTGATATTTTAAAAAATTGTGATTAAAGATGATAGTGAATTTAAAATTTATGCAGTAATGGACATTTGATAGTTTTTAATTATCTGAATTAAATTTAGGAGCAAAATAAAATACTAAAATAGTATTGTATGGATAATGGCAGTGATTTTATGATTTTTATTTCATTCTATACAATTGTTGTTATTCCATATCCATGTAAATCGGGCATAATTAATAGTGTTTTTATGAAATTGAGTTAAATTACTATTTATAGGCAGTAATTAATGTTTTTGGCGGGAATTAGTTACTAAAAATTAATTAAGTTAATCCTTATTATATATTAATAGATACTATTTTTATTATGTTATTATATATTCGTCGAGGTGGGCTTAGGCAACACTTGTACTCGAACCTGGCCCCTCCATTAAGGATATGTTCAATAACCAAATAATCTAGGCTAGCTAGCTATAACTTATTTGGTTAGATTATAAATTCATTGCATTCAAATAAGTCTCGTTTAGTAGAACGATTAAAAAACTCGAGCTTATTTTATAAACTTCTCGAGTAGCTTCTCAAATAAGTTCGTTCAAATTAACTTTAATTTGAGGTAGTCTATCTGCTAAATTTACCAAACAGTTTTATAATATAAGCTAGCTTTCAGCGATAAGTGATAAGTTATAAGCTATAAGCTCGAAAATCACTTATAAAATATAACCTAACTTATCAGCTAGTTTTACAAAACCTAGCCTAAATATCGCAGACTCAACGTGACCCATTTTGGAAGCCGGACGAATCCAACCACCTCAAATGCTGCATTTCAGGTTGGCCCGGGCTTGCCGGGTCAAATGCCACCCTTATTCATGATCCATCATGTTCACGAAATTTCAATACATAGTCAATGGAACACTTAACAAGAAAGCCTTTAACTTAGACTAATTTTTCACCCACAAAGTAGTATGATCATTATTCACTCAAAGACAATACAAGCAACAAAAAGAACAAAAGAAATCATAATAGAATCCATAACAAAACCAACAAAAAAAAAAAAGAAGTGTTAGAATTGCCATACACAAAAAATCTGCATTCAACAACCAATCACCACCTCTATATATAGAACACCACCATCAAGGCAGCAACCAACCCAAAGAAACCGAAAAATCGAGCTTTGCCAGAGGCCGTTGAGGTGGAAGCAGCTGCTCCTGGAGTCGATGGTGGATTACTGGCTGACGGGCCGGAGGAGGAGGAGCTGCCGCTAGCTTCAACAGTCGTGATTTTGACCTTCATTCCTCCACCACAATGGCCCGCGGTCCCACACGCGAAATATCGTGTTCCGGCTTTGTTCAACTTGATTTTAGTATCACCGTCGTTGAACGAGTTCAATGGAGATCCAACATCGCATTTCTTATACGCGTCTTCATTCAGTTCGACCACGCTGTGCATTGACGTGTATTTGAACTCTGGACATCGAGTCAGAGTAAATATAAGGAGTGCTTAGATATGAGTTAGGTTTGAGTTGTTTTGGTTTTGATCTCACTAACCAGAGTTAGTTTTGAAGAAGTAATTAGTTGAGTTTGAGTAGAATTTTGAATTGTATTAAAATAATATTAATAAATATAAAGTGATTAAAAATTATTTGGTGTAAAAGCAGAAGAGACATGATCGAAACTTGAGAGTGATGAATAATTAAATTTTGTGAGTGATTAATAGTATTTAAAGTTGACGTAATGTATGACGATGACTGATTAGTATTAGCTAATTATATTGATAATTTTGTGAAAAGTTGCCTTGAGTTAACTTTGCGTTAAAAAGGAAAAAAAAAAAAAGTCACGAAATTTACATAAAATGTTACCTAATTCATCTCCAACTTTGAATGTCTGAGAAGATGCCCACGAATCAAAATCGGTGGACTGCTCCCAGCCTTGGCTTCCTCCCACCACATGAGTTGCAGCTAATGATTTCTCTGCTGCAATAGCAATAACAAACACGACGAGTACCTGAACGATTTTGCTCGAAACCTCCATATGTTCTATCGTGTACGTGCGTGTTCTAAGTTCGCCCCTTTAATTAATAATGGAAATTAATTAATCTGAATTAACAATCTCTAGATATAGCTACCTGTAGAGTCATCTGATCATAAATGTACCTATGTATATATATATATACAAGTGAGCTAGCTAGTTGGTCCAGTCATTTCTTGAATCTAAAGTATTAAACTTTTTTTTTTTCTGAGAAGTTTCTAATCTTGATATATTCGTATTAAGACATCTGTGCCTGATTTGTTGATGATTGCCTGCCTGCCAAGCAATTGTTGATTTGGTAAATGTAGCATGAATTACTCAATTCTTTGCTTTGAAGCTAAGCTTAATTTTGCCCTGTTTCATACATGTATTAGTATATTATAGCTAACTTTGTTTCAAATAATTAATGATGTTTGGTATAATAGTATGGCTAACACAGTAGGTATGTACAATTTGCTAAACATTGATTAGCAACACATAAAGTAACATCATCTTCATTTTCTTTTTCCTTGTGCATTGAGGGAACAACTTAGTCAATGTTTGGGAAGCATATAAGCTAAGTTATATATTATTTGTTTATATTATAAGTTTTATGTATATTCAAATAAGTTTGGTTAGAACGAATCTATATCTATAACTCCCTTAAAAGTATGAGTAGTTTCTTGAAACTTTTGAAGTGCCAAGAATGCCCTTACTAAAGATAAGTTTTAAGGTTATGAATGTAATTTTCTTATTAATGTTAAAAAGTTACAACTAACAATATTTGTTAAATTTTTAAACTTTCATTTCTTAATTTACTTATATTCATTATCTTTTATTTTTTATACATAATTATATCTTAAAGTTTTTACACATACAAAAAGATTATCTACGCAAATTGATAGATTTTAAATAAATAATATATTTTAAATTATATTAATCATAATTAGTTTACATACGACCTATGACGTTAGGTTTCAGTTTGGTTATTTTAAAAGTAGTTTTTAAATGTAAGAGAAGATATTATTTTAAATAAAATATTTTTATTTCATAAGTGTAAAATACATCTGCATCAATGAAAATACCATCTATAATTACCAACTATCATATTATTACTACAGAAAGTTTTTGTAATAGTATTAAAAAAACTAAAGAGGACAAATTTGGTGAATATGCATATGTTTAAGGATGATCGAATGAAGAATAATTCTTCATCATACAAACTGTCAATTTTTTTGTGGAAAAAAGAAATTCGTTAAGTGAAAAATATATAATCTTAAAATATTTTGTTTAAATTATTCACTAAAACAATATACATAGTATGATTTAAGTTTACCTGTTAATAATAGTATGTATAACATAATGTTCTTTTATGATAGTATGTGTTACATAAATTAATCTACTATCTATTTTAATTGCAATATAAATAAAAATAGAGTAATTATAAAAATTAAATAAAATAACTAAAACTCTATTTTAAATCTTGAATTTCAAAAAATGTGCACTTATTGAAAAATAGTTACAATTAAAATATGCTAAATATAAGTGAATAGTACATTTACTTCAAATTTGTTGTCATTAGCCACTCTTACTTATAAAACTAGCATTAATTTTGTGCACATGCACATGTTACCAAAAATAAATAAATATTATATATAAAAATCATAATTGAAACAAAATTTTACTCAATAGTATTTATAATTGAATTAAATTTAAGGCCCTTAGTTGAATTTTTATACTTCGATAAAAAAGAACAATAGAAATGTAAAATATATATATTAATGACTATTATTATATGAATATAATGAATAATCTAATTTATATATTAATTTTGTATTAATAATAAAATTATTACCAAAGTAAAAAAATATAAAATATAAAATGGACAATGTAAATCTTATATACCACATAAATTGATCTTTTTTCAGAAAATTATCGAACAAATGATATACATACTATATTTATATAATAAAATACGTGTACATTTAGATTATTTCATTGATAATTTTTCACTTATAATTAAGTAATTATATTGGTATTACTTTATAAGAAAAATATTTCGTCATATTAAATATGAGTATAATTTTTTTCATTTGCAAAAATATGTAGGAAAAAATAAAGAACCATTTCACCTCAATTAATACACCTTACTAAATTTTTTTTATGTATTTTACAACACCTAAAAAACTAATTTTGAATAAAAATTGATAAAAGATAACATAAGTTTATAAACTAACATTAATTAACATTATTAAGATGGCTTGCAAAGATAGGTAGGATTATTTATCATATATATATATATATTTCATTAATTATGGTATCTCTACAAATGAAAAAAAAAAAAATTGATATGGTTATAATTTATTTTCATAAATTTTTTCCTAAGGAAAATTCGATATATATATATATATTATATCAAATCATTATTTACTTACCAAATTAACATAAGTGCAATTATATTAGTTCTTAAGATATGACCGTTACAACTTATATTAAATATTAGATATTAATTACAAAAAAACAAATAAAATGATAGGTGAAACATACTAAAAATAACTTAAAATAAGCGGGAAAAAGATAGGCAATTACATTAATGTAATAGCTGCAATTATATATATATATATATATATATATTTATATAATTCATAAATTAAATGATTCAAATTATTTTTCAAACGTAAAAAAAAAAGGGAAAAGAAAATAACTAGATAAAATATTGACGAAGATATAAAAAATAATATCAAAAGTAAAATATGAAAGAATCACCATTTTATAATTCATATAAATTGAAATGATTTATTTTGTCACATTTAGGATAGTCTTGAAAATTCGTGAACAAAAAATAGTAATGCATGCATGGTAATGTTAGGAGATGCAACAATAATTTATGTTGGACAACATATGAGATGAGTACCTTCAATCAACCAATATTGGACAATATATAGAGAGAAATGGGTACATTTAATCGATGTTAATGTTTCTAATTTTTTTCAATCAAATTTTATTTTTGAAATAATCACGACTTTAAAAACATTTTCAAACATTTATTTATTTGTTGTGCCATTTTATCCAAATAAAAATATATATCTAAGTATTATGAAATATTATACTTGATCAGCATCCACTATGCTGAAAATAGTCGAGAATGAAACAATCAAACATAGTTGGTTAGTTTTCAATTAACAATAAGAAAAACTATAACTACAAATGATAGTTATAACATATTCGACTTATTTTCAAAGAGCATAACGCAAAAATAAGACATTAAAAAATTATATTATGATGACAATGATAATGGTCGTTATTTTTAAGCATAATGAGTTATCATTGGATAACAAAATCAAAGACGACATAAATTTCTTTAGCATTTAAAATTTGACAAAATAATAATAATAATAATAATTTTACTGTGGATTTTCAAACCAATATTTTTTATTTAATTTTATGTCACAGTTTGGTAAAAAGTATTAAATATTACATTTTATTATTTAATACATTTATTATTGATTATTATAACATAGACAATTTTTTATTAACTAATAGAATGAAAATTATATTATACTATTAAATGTAAATTTAATAATAAAAACAATTTTAAGTAAAGAAAAAGTGATTAATATTACGTGCGTAGCACGTGCATCTTCCTAGTATTTTCAAAAAGCTTGAGTTCATTTCATTATGAGCAACCTTTTAAATAAGTTAGTCGAAATTTTTTCTTTCAACTGGCTTATCAGCTAATTTTACCAAACTTTTATCATATAAGCTAGTTCTTCAACCATAAGTAATAAACTATCAGCTATAAGTTCGAAATTCATTTAAAACCTTAAACTAGCTTATCACACTGCAAGAATGTGATGAAATTCCAATGGAAAATTCCAACGGGAAATATATTCCAATAGAATTCCAACGGTAATGTCAATGAATATTCCAATGCTATTATTTATGTTGGAATTTTTCAAATGATTCCAACGGAAATTCCAACAAAAATATTCTGTTGGAATGAGTTTTCCATTGGAT